AAAGCAGCAAGCCTCCCTTGTGATATACACACATGCACTGTGCACAGAGCTCTGATCTTAGTAGGTTCTGAGCACTACCCAGGAGGAGGGAGTAAGGCAGCTCTGAGACTGCTCTAGATTATGCTAGGAACCAAAGTCCACCTAACTCAGGTGCCCCCGTTATAGGTCTGACTTAAGAACTAAAGCATCCAGGGGGCACACCAAGATCATTTTAAATGAACACAAAAACTCTATCTTTTCTTTAATAACAATGACAAAAAATGTGACCAAAGGTGGTAACACTTTGTCTGGAGAAGGTGCCTGAAAGATGCAGCCAGCTCTAGAATCATCCTGCCTTGAGAGGCTTTAATCCATAAAGGGCATCTGTCACTGCCTGGCACCCAAAGGCTTTGGCTCTCCTGTCAAACCCTACTGACCCAAGAAAGCTGCCTAAAGGAGACAGAGCCTTTCCTCTTGAGAGACACAGGCAGCTGGCCAAGCAGACACACATCCTACAGAATAGTTTTTAACAGAGCAAGTGAATTATCTCCTGACTCACAGGAGAGAGGGAGGGAGGCAGGGGGCTGCCCTGCAGAGCCAGGCTCTCATTTCACACATCCGTGATGAATCAGCACACAAGTTTTCAGCTCTCACAGCTCAAGTTCCTTGCTGTCCCAGTCAATGCTCTGAAACTCAGTCAATGGCAAGTGGGGGGTGACAGGCAGCACCTTCATCCCAGGTGGGTGAGGGGGAAGTCGCACAGCACCAGGCACAGTCAGCAGCATCACTAACTTACTGGTTGGGCCACACCATGGAGAAGACTTGCTTAATAGCTGCAGGGGGCCCAGTCCAGCCTTCAGGGCAATGGGATGCAAAGGGAGACTAGGGAAGAGGCAGGAATCATCCAAGGAAAAGCTATGGACAGCCCATGACAGGAGATGTCCGCTGCCAGGAGGTACCTCTTTGTGTGCCTTCCCCTTCCTCATAGCCTCCATACAGAAAGGAAACATGGATAAAACTCCCTGATGTCCTCTCCATGGAATTGCCCACCTCATCATCCCCTTCTAGAGGCATATTAAATATCTACAGAGGTTCAGTTTATCCATGGTCTTCACTCAACACCTCAATACTCTTCACACCTTCAAACACAACTACAGAAAGGGCAGCTCATGTCCTCAGAAGCACTTCAGCATCTTGCTGATTTCTATCCTCCTTTCCCCAACACAGCCACCCCCAGCTCACCCACATTGCCAGCAAGTCACTTGCTGTTCTCTGCTCACTCTTCCCCAGACACTTCTCTGCTGCACTTTGGGAAAGGCTAAAACCAGCTCAGTAAATTCAAGCAAGCTTCAAGGATTTAAGGGAGCAAACTACAACTCCACTTCCCCTGCCAACCAGGGTGAACTACTTCCAAAAGGCACAGTATGGTCATGGATTACACAGCAATTAAAACATGAAGCATTTAAAGCTATTTTTAAATTCATAGTTCCAAAAAGAGTTCACTATTCCCCTCCAATTCCTTTCCATAACTAAGACAGCTCTTGATCCTCTCCAAGCAAGCACTTGTTATAAAAGCTCCCAGCTAGAGACAATTTTACAGAAGGTCAGTTGTCCATGCCAAAGTAGGGAAATCCATTTCAGCAGTGAGAATAACAATAGAAATCTTTGCTGGAGTCAAAGAAACATTTCTATAGAATTAGACTTAAAAATGTTTTGAAGTTTCATAGTGCTTTCAGGGAAATGCATTGCTCTAAAACGAACACTGTCCTTCCTTCGCTCACTGCTCTAAGTTACATTGATCCCAGCATTTAACAAGTTCAGAATTGATGGCAAAACACACATTTTCTTTGCGAAGCAGCTTTGTCAGAGGGTTTCTTGCCCCATCTCCTCAAGAGCCTTCCTCCCTGGCCGCTATCGCAAGCATCTGTTGAGCAACAGCACCCTGCGTAGAGCAGTCCATGCCCACAGGCACGACCACAGCTCCTCGCTGTTGCCACATGGGCTTTGTTTGCATGTCAACAAAAGCTCTGCAAGAGACCTTTGGAGCTCTTAGCAATGATCCCAACCTTTCCTCCTTATCCATCACTTCTTCCCTGGTTTTGCCCACTTTCCCTTCCTCATAAGGATTTTAGATAGGCAAAGGAAGAAGTTACATCTGTAGATATCCCACTTACAAGGCTTCCAGTCTCAGCCTCCCACAACTGCATTTTGGGGTGGTTGTTAACCTGGATGAGTCCTTCATGGAGACCACTGTTTGCTTCAGCAGGAGTCTTCAGCCAGATAAGGAGTGCACTGTCTAGATGCATCATATTTCTACCTAGCCCTTCAAGCTAAATACCAAACACATAGTAGATAGATCTACTGTTATTAAAATAAACTAAAAACAAACATTTATTCCTGTAAGCAATTCCTACTTAGGTGAGTCATGGGCACTATTTACATGACAAACATTGGTCTTGTAAGCAGAGCTCCTCCAGGTAGAGCCAAAGACTCAGGGGAAAACGTATTTGGATGAGAGCAAACAAATCTGTGCTCCAAGACACACTGAGAAATTAAGGGAACAAGATGAAGGCTTCATCCCATACATGTGATTAATCTACCTGTCCTTACTCCTGTGCTCCATACATTTTTTCCCAGTTTCATTCTCCCATGAATACCCTTGTTGTATATCTGTATTTTGTTACCAGCAAAGCCACAGGCAGATTTACTCATGCACTTTAATATGTATCCCTGCATTTCACTGCCTCACATTCCCACCTCCCTTCTTTATGGCCAATTTCTCCACCTTTTTCTGATTAGGGATAACAGCTACCCCTAATCTGCTGTATTTATACAGCATGACAAGCTTCCAAAAGGCAGACTACAGATACAGGCATTGAAGAAGTCACTTGCACTGGTGATAACTTCCCAGGGTAGTGGAATTTCTTTGTTCAAAGTGAGTAATTCTATGGAGAAGGTGTAGCCTTGATATCTTACTGGAGTAATCTGCAAGGGAGCCGGAAAGCCTGCGACAGGGAAAACCAAGGGCTGGCCAGCAGGAAAAGGAACACAGCTAGTGTTAAGCCTGGGATAAGCCAGAAAGTAAAAGGAAGGGAGAAATGAAGGGCTGCCATCTCTAATCTTTGCTGCTGTGCAAGCAGCAGATTTCAGCCCCAGCCTGGCAGATGAGATAGTCACTGTATGTGTAAAGCCAGAGGCAGCAGTGGGGAAAGGATACAGAACAGGGAGAAAAACACAGCCTCACAGTTGTCTAATCTTCTGACTTTCTACCCATACAATGATTTTAGTTTGCTATCGCTACAGAAATAATGCAAGCTCTAATTCAAAGCCACAGAAGCCAGAAACAGGGATCTTATACTATCATGGTAGGACAGGAGCTATCAAGCAAGGGTAACTACAGGCACTTCATCAAAATTGGTTCATTTTGGGGCAAATTTCCCCATCAGCTTATATGGTTGCATCTATTAGCAAGCTCAGCACCAGTAGGAAGTCATTAACCCTAACAAGACTTTGTTCCCCAACTCCCAGATACTCCAAACTGAGATGATCCAATTTGGATCATGCAAAGCACCCACACAAACATAGAGCACCTATCCCAGGTCATCTTTCACTGGAAGACAGAGACAGTCAAGGAGAGGGAGCACCAAATGTATGAGAAGAAATACTGTGGCCTTTCTTCATATGTTTTCCCACTTACATACTAAAGGGATTGGACGCATCCCACCTTTGTCCAAGCATCCTTTTTTTTTTTTTTTGGAGCACCATCAGCAATAGGCAAGGAAAAACAAACATCCATTTTAAACAATTCCTGCAGAAATCAGCTCACATAGATTCAAGAACCCTTAATACCAGCACAGCACCTGGCTTTGAATTACTGGCATGCAGAAGAAACTGCTTTGCAAAAAACATCACTAAGAGCACTAGAAAGCCTTCCCACTTGCCTTGGTTATAAAACTACCCAAACAAGGAGAGAAAAAACAACTTGTAAATTTGAGGGGAATGGGAATTACCAGTGCAGCTTCATGCACAATTGATATTCTACAGGAATACCACCTTCCCAGAGCATTACCTGTTGAAGTTTAACCTGTATTGCGAACCCTTAGTGCCCCCAAACTAGATTCTTATTCCTGCAAGTAGGAAAGAGTTATTTGGAAGAATACCTTATCCTGCCTGTTCCCTGGGAACAGAGAGTGAGAGAAATGGGTGGGTCTGTGTGGGGAGAGCAGCAAGAGGATTGCTCTCACCCATAACTGCTTGCAGCTGCTATCTGCTCCCAACCACAGGAACAAGCCCGGCTTTGTCTCAGCCTGGGGTTGCACGATGCTGAGCAGAGACAACTGTCACTGCCCAGGGAAGCACTTCCAGCACTTCCCTGCAGAAACAGACACACTTTTCCAAAAAGAATGCGTCTTTCACCATTTTTCATGGAAGAAAAAAAAGATAGTTCTAAGAAAAAGATTAGTATTTGGACAAACATATAACAAAAAACCACTCCCATTTACTCTATCCAGCTTAGGAGATTATTTTTCCTTAACATAGAACTGAAGCAAAATTGATCTATTCAAAGAAAAAAATCTTTTTTCCGTTCACTAGAAGTTTTCAGATGCTTTTTAGCTGTCTGAAGTGTCCAGAAACAACTTCACTATTCTGACCAGGAACGGAAACAGCATTTGTGCTGCTATTTCTCAGGTCAATCTGTACCTCTTCATTATGGTCAGTCAGCAAATATTCATTTGTGCCTTTCCCACAAAAGGGGACTGGATGCCATCCTTATCATTCTGTACTATCAACATCCTTGATCTTCTTCACATGACAGAATTTTAAAATATTGACTATTCTAAGATATCTGAGCTTACCTCATTACACTTCCCCTGTTACACTTTCCTCTTTTTTGACTCATTTATGCACCATACCAGGAATAATCATCTTGGTTTAATTAACTATCTGACATAAAATGGATATATTGAGTTAACATGCTTCAGAGCAAACTATAAAAGACCCAGATGACACAGAGGCATTACCTTGCTGGGCACATTGAGGCTCTTCTCACAGTCTCAGAGCAGGAGCAGGCCACTCATAGACACTGAAGTTGAGGGACTTCACAGCACTGCACTGAAAGGGAACACACACAAAAAATAAGCCCTCTCCTTGTCTCATTTACCATGGGGCCATGGCCAAAATCACCCCTCAGAGCTGCTCAAAACATGCAGAGGTAGAAGGAGCACAAGGGCTACAGCCTACTGAGCTTCCAGGGCAGCTAGATAGAAGAGGAGCAGAGTAAACTGCAGCAGCCCCTTCCCACAAACACCCTGCTCCCTCTAACAGGACATTTCTCCTTCAAACAATGACAGAGAAGGACAGCTCTGCCCTTGGCAACTTTCTGAGCTTGGAAGAAGCTTCATGCAGAAGCAAGGCAAAGCCATGAGAAATGAAGTAGAAAGACAGTACAAACATACCTCTTTGGGCTGTAGCAAGCCAGAACTGGTGCAGAACCCCACTCCCAAACATCTCTGCAGGTCTCACAAAGACCCACAGAAAGCATTGCCCCAAACATGCCTGGAGCCCACTAAGAGAGCCCCCCAGCAGCAACCCCCAACTACCCACCAAGGAGCCTCCCAGTCCTCCCCTTTCCCTTAATGAGCCAGTTGTGCTAATGAGCATCAGCTGCTCAGCAGCCCCGGGAGGTGCTGGCCCCCAGGTGCCACCACTTGGGCTGTGATTGTGACCTCGCTGCCTAGCACCTGGTGGCCACAGAGACCCGGGACTTGTTTGCTCCCCATGACACCCCTGTTTGCAGCCCAGGGATGGGGACCGAGTCCCTGTCCTGCTGCCCTCCCTGCAGCTCCAGTTCCTGCCGCCTGTAGGCACCAAAATGACCACCGTAGCCTTGAGGGAAAAGTAGCATTTTCCATCAAAGCTCTACTTTGCCAGGGAATTTCCAGGCGCCTTTCCTGGCCTCCTGACAGGTCTGGGAGGACAACAGGAAGGGCCTTTCTTCTTCAAGTGGTGCTCCTGAGGCCCTTCAATGTCATGTTTATTAAACTATCTTGTTTATTTTGAATGTGTCCTATTTATTTATTTTTAATATGGCCCTTTAGAAACAGGAATGTTTCTCTCATTTTTCTGTCAGCCCATTTTTAATGGGATTCTAATTATTACTCAGGTACAGGAGGGCAGTGGCCAAAATTGGGAACTGCATCCCTCATTTACAACGGCAAAGAGCCATCCAGCTGCCTTCTCCTCCACTTCCTCCAAGAAAAGCAACGTGTGAACTCTAGGAAAAGGTGGAAAATCCAGGAAAATGCATTCCTAATGGCTTTATTGTTTCCCTGTGTGCCCATAAATGTCACTTTTTAAGCAACGTGCCCTGCTCCCAGAGCAATAGCAACTCAAAAAATGCAACTCAGTATGCAGGTGGCCTCAGGGACATGTGTGATATGTGGTGGTGGCATCAGTGGTGGCATCGGTGCCTCACCTGCTCTCACAGAGCCACCAGCGTAGCCCTCTGGCCTAAGGAGAGGGTTGGGTGGTGGGGCAGAGCAGAGGGAAGGCCCGGGGGTGGTACCTGTCCTGGTGGGAATGGTCACCACAGCACATGGATTTAACACACAGACATGAATAAATAAATGCAGTTAGACTGCAAAGCAAAAGAACCTCCCAAACTGCAAGGCCACCAGTCAGAAGATGCCCCAAAGAGCTTTACAGATGCAGCAAGCAAGGGGAGGCGCTTTGCTGCTGAGCAAAGTTGAGTGGAGGCGTGGGGAATATGATCCCCTAAGAAGAAAAAATGTAGGAATGCGGCTAAAACGATGTCACAATGTGCAAAATAAGCTCCTCTTTTGGGGGGATGTGGCTTCCTCTTCTAAATGTCTCCCCTTGCAGGGTAACAAAGCTCAAAGCGAGCCAAGAGCTCTGAGCAGAACTTACCACAGAGAACCTCAGAGGTGAAATAAGTTGTGTTTTAGTGCTAGAGTAGGGTGAGATAGTTGGGAAGATTGTGTGTTACAGGGTGACGAGGGAAACAGAGAAAAGAGCTCCTTTTCAAAGAGCATGATCACTTATTTAATACATCAAATACATACATACGATAGAAACAGATTCTTCTATTATTTAATTAAAAAAGAAATACTGCAATGGTTTATATATTGGATTCATATTGCTAAAGAGATATTTATGAGCTGCACTCACTGCCCTTTTGTCTCAAAAAAAACCCTCACTATAAATCTCTCCCTTTCTCCTCTTTGCTGCTAATACTGCCCACATTCCAATGATGTCTCAGTGTAGTGAATGATAAATGCAGGCTTTGCTCATTATATTCTTAAAAAAAATCTTTTTGCTTCTATTGATCACCAGAGTTGAAATTAAGCTCTGTTTTACATCCTCTATTTGTTTGGAAAGCAAGATATTATTCCGTGCCTATTTTTTTTCCCCTTCCAGCAACTCTGCCTATCTGTGCCAATGGAAAGCGTTCAGTTAGTCTTTATCTTGACCTTGCCTTTTGAAAGTATTTCTGCTGTCTAAAAGACAGCTTCAAAGCAGCCAAATTCCTCAAATCTTGCTCTCAAAGACTTGCACCTTTCGCAAATCCCTGGCATTTCTTGCTCAAGAAGCAGGAGAAAATCTCCCCCATTTTCTGGCATGCTCCTGGGTTTGTGTCCTCACCACTCAGCCAAGGCTAGCGCCAATTAAGAGTCACTCCCTGGATTTTAAAGATCCCGAATGTACTCATCTCATCCTACCTCTCTGACCTCATGTTAACTTAGTCCCCCAGGACTCATCTGATTAATTTATATTTCTGCTCTGCCTAATTCACCCCCTTGGAGGGCTGTTATTTCACTTGTGTGGGTCTATCTTTTTGGAATCCTTCCCTCTGTTACTGAATCACTTCCTCTCTCCAATAAACTTTCCTTTTTTTTTTTTCTCTTTTAATTGGGCTTTGTAAGAAGTGATGTTCAAGCATTTCACATCGTGCTATGAAAAAAAGACCAAAGGGAAAACGAGTTGTTGCATGACAGCATTTTGGAACGTGAGTTGCTTGTGAGCTATTCAGCAAGGGCTGCGTTTGTAAACAACATTAATGAAACCACCCAACTTCATACAGCCAATTTTGGGAGAATTAAGGAGACCTTGGGTGATCAAGACTAGCTGAATGGTTTCCAGCCTTAGAATAGTGAGCAGGCTGTTTAAATGGCCTCAGAACTGCTAAATTACATGGCATTGTTTTTGCTGAATGATTAAAACACTCCAACACCCACCAAAAACTTCCAAAACAGCCATACAGATGCTATCGGGGGCGTCACGCTTTTTCCTTTCCGTATTTGAGACACGTCCTTTTCCATGAATCTGATGGTGTAAAAACAAATAATTGGTTGGGCAGATGTTTGCAGAAAACAAAGAAAAGGGGTCATAAAACCTGTCAGAGTGAAATCAGTCCCGGTTTTGGGCTGGACAAGTGTTCATGGTCGCTCTTGAAAAGACCAACACACATTCACTCACTCGCTCTTATCAGGGAGTCACAACCCTTGTGCCTTGTGCCCTGTCTTCTCAGGGGAGCAAAGAGCAACCAAGCAACACTGAGACATCGCCCAGGGGATGAAGAGTCCAGAGAGGAGGATAAATCTCTTTCATTTAAGGACTGTTGTTAATTCCAAATGATGGTTATTAAGAAGCCTGAGAGGCTGCAGGATACACACGTCGCTCTCTGCCCGCAGCGGCGACCGGGGATGTAAATAACAGGCTGGCCAAGGGCTGCGTCACGGCGTGGAGCTGCACTTGGGCAATCGGCAGCGCCTGAAAGGAGCCTTTGAAGGCGGCGATGGCAGCTTCGGTGGGGGTCACGCGGGGGTGAATGGGGTCATTTCGGAGAAGGGAGGTCCGGGCTGAAAACAGGAAAAATGAATTCATCCTGTGCCAGTCATCTCCATTAAGCCCAAGCTTAATGACCAGACCAGAATAGTCATCTCAACACTCATCTCAACACTGCTCGGCTTTGAAGAAGCTGAAGGGAAGGCGATTCTGGTGTTCGCACCCCGAGCAACAACATAACCCCCCTCCTTGTACCTGTACTCAGCAACAGTGTCCCACTGTGACCACCAGGGCCAACACGGAGATGTGTCAACAAGTGACTCAGAAGAGGAGGAGGAGCAGATGGAAAAACAGGCCAAAGAGAGGCAGGACCGCTGGAGGAAAAGCAAACAAAACCCCGCAGCCCAAGGGAGGCGGCTGTGGACCAGGGGGGAGAGTGTGCACCTCGGAAATATGTGAAGTTACGGGGAAATTCACCTCTCAGGCTTCCTAGTGCTTGCAACAAGCCGGCCTCACATTCTCCGAGGGGGCTGGGAACGCAAGACATACCTGGGGATAATTAAGCAAACACAGGGGGATTACGGAGGTTAAGTTTCTTTCCCTTCGCTCCAAACCACTGTGACCACCAGCTCAGAGCACATTCCATCCTTATTTTTCAAATCAGCCTGTTCCTAAATTCCCAGCCACTTCCCTCGCCAGGGAACACAGCAGGTTTTGCAAGGGAGAGGGACAGACGTCCAGCCATCCTTGCAGTACATTGGGAGCAGGTAAACCCTACGTAGGTATTTCCAATAAAAGGCTTCAAGGGAACCAGCAGTTGCTTTTCTCCAGTGGTTTCCCTAAAAGTAAAGCACAGAAGAGGCAATTAACAGACTTCAGGGACAAACCTGTTCCGAGAATCAAGGTTAGCCCCAGCTCATCTGAATTTCTTGCATAGCAGCGAGGCTCAGCACAGACCTGGGCTCCAGCTAATAAAACAGCAATCTGACTTTCAGATCAGAGCCGGCCCGCATCCAAGTCACCTCAGAAGTCCTGGAATTTAAGCATTTATTTTCACTCTAAATCAAACGGGAACGCTCTTTCTCAAGACTGAGCAAAACAGAAGCAACTTGCCCCAAGTTTTGCTGCTACGCCAGCTTTAAAACTTCCTTCTAATTTTGAAATTAGTTTAAATGAGAAAATGGATTTCTCCACAAATCATCTGACTGTTCTCATTTTTACAGCATTTCCAAAGCTCTGACTTTGAGGACAAAGTATCTTCCACCAGAAAACTGTTGGGCCAGAGCGTTTGAGCTACCC